ATGCACCCCCTGACTGATGTGTTTCCATGGTGATGAGGGTTGATTAGTTGAAGTGGTTTATGTCCTGTGACACATTCTGCAAGTTGCACTTGGTAGAAAAACAGAGCTGTGAAGTAAAGGGAGACAAGGCTTAACATATGCACATGTTTTTGTGCTTTGCTCTGACAGCAGAGATATGAGAATGAGTTGTGTTGCATTTAACACATAAAACCAAAGGTAGAATGAGTGAAGGTTGAGGCAGGAATCTGTTATTGACAGAATGTGATGCTGTCTGCGTTTGTATTTGTGAGTTTGTATCTAACATGTGACCGTGCACTGGGAAGCTGCTGCACTGGACTAAGAATAGCATCCTTGCTGGTCCTTTTGCCTGCAGTCACTGTCTGAATAACAAGTCAACACAACTAGACTTCACACACACACACACTACTACACACTGCTGGCACCTGTACTATTTGTAGCCCACCTTGTACTCTACTGGAATGAATCCATCTTTCTCTGAGTGCAATACATGTGTAAAGCCTATAAAACAACAAATCAGTTTTACTTTTGTCCAAGCTGTTCCTTGAAGTAAGTCTTCTCAACGTGGTTACAAGACCAAACCAAACATATATGCAAGTGCTTGTAGGGGTTGGGACCAAATGATGATGTCCATAAATCAAATACAATTTAAAAACAATTACAAACAGCATATGTAGCCATGCGTGTTACAAAAGACAAAACAAAATAGTTACAACTATTCAAATCAAGAATATGTCAACAACCTTCAGATTTTCTTTCTCTTAGATTTAGGTGAAAGGAATTTTTTGGAAGAAATGGAAGATAAAATAATCCTAGAGATGTTTTCACTGCTGTGTTCTAAATTGTTGCATGTTTTTTTACGGTCTTCCAAACTGGACAAAGTAAAACCTTTTGAGTTTTCATGATGGCAAGGGTGAGGGGTATTCTGCTGCAACATGCAACTTCACCTCTAGAAGTCACTGAATTCTACAAACCTTTAAATCTAATTATTGTCGGGACAGGTGTAGTCAATGGTGGATTAAAACAAAGAAATAAGTTAATACATCTTCTGCTGCAGGTTATTCCCTCTGAGTGGAGCTGTGCCAAGCCACCTGGCAAATATTGAGATATTTCACATATATGTTTGACCATGGGTCAAAATAACAAATCGACACTAAATCCATATTTCCTTATTTTAACTGAATATCTGAAGTATTGACAAAAACTCTGAAACTGCTTCCATCCGATGACTAATTCTCCCACCTGGGCCATCAAACCGTCACAGAAGAGACAGAGGCAGCGAGACGTTGAACATGAAACAAATGTAAAAAACTGGTAGGAATCATTGTCATTTATTAAAGTGAGAAACGAGACAAATTGCCTCACATCAGCCATTATTCCACAACCTTTTCCAACATTTTACTTTGATATGTACACACCAGCTTTTCCTCCTCAGTCAAATACAAAAAGTTTCTCTTTCTTTAAATGCACATCAAAAAGCACAGACTGAAACGCAATGGCAATTCAAATTCAGAAAATTTTACCTGCGAGCTCACAAGGTAAAAAAAGCCAAGAATACATAAAATAATAATATAAACTTCAGTGTGGTTTAACATTGCAAAGCATATATTTATTGCATATTTTAACAGTCGTACAACTAAAAGAGTCCCAGGACATCTGTGCTCTCTTTAGGAGAGGTGAAGCGAGTAATTCAAACACAGTACCGTCGTCCTGCAGGTTATTTTACATTGCATGTGATGCTGAGTCTTCACAAGTGAGCGGGTCTGTGCCTGCCAGACAAAAGAACTGATTTTTGAGACTGGACATGGTGATGCCTGGTGCAGGGCAAGGCTTAAAGCGCCCTCTGTCTGTCTCCCTCTCATTGTTATGTTATCCTCTTGCTTAAATCAGGCTTGTGGCCTGGGAAGTCGCATTAGCAATACAAGGAGCTGTACAAGCCTTGATGGTTATGTAAACCCTCCCTCCCTTCCCCCCACCACACACACACACACACATGCACATTTACAAACATGCACACGCACCAACAAGCCCTTAAGCCTCTCTGTGGTCCATAGCCGGCACACGCTAGGAAGTGTCTCTCACCCGCTTATCGTTACATCATTACTATACAGGCCTGGATTTCTCCATGTGGCAGCGTCACAGCAAAGTGAATCGTCAGATGTTATAATATCGTGTGAAAAAAACATATGCAGCAAGGTCCTGATGTCATTGTGACGGTTTTGGTTTTACAAAAAAATAATAAAATCCAAAAACATCTTCATCAGCACACAGAAAGTGGACACAGAGAGTTCTTTGTGGTGACATTTAAAATGAGACACATTTACATTGTGTGTGTGTCATCTGCACCCTCCCTCCCCACCTTTTAAGTAAATGTTATATTTAGATCAATGTTTATCCTCCGTACTTGTCAGTCTGCAGTGGCTGGAGTGAAATTATCAAATCCTCATATCTGAGAAGCTGTAAATGGCAAATATTATCAAAATAGATTTTTTATTATCAATTAATAGATCATTGCAGCTCTATTGCATTATATATCCTCTGTTATTCATAGGTTTTCACTACTTAGGTGATGTTGACATTAACAGCCGTTTACATAGCGATCTATTAGAAACGCTGCAATTCCAGCATCAAACGTTATTTCTTTATTCACCAAATGTGTCTTCAGACGTGCAAGCAACAACAATGTTTGTTACTGTTTGGCTTATATTTCTATAGTAATGATGATAATAAAATCCACATTACAAAGTGCTTTACAATGGCAGCAAAAATGTAAATAAAAATGTCATAAAACCATCAGAATCAAAAAGAAATAGGTAAAAACTACTTTGAGTCACTGTAGCTCAGAGGACATATTATAATTATGCATTATTAGACCATCACTGTGTCCTGACAAGAAACCACATTAGATTTTTCGTTTTGTAGTCGAGGCAAAAATAATTTAAACAATGTTGTTCTTCCTCTGTGCATCAGTTGGCTTCATATATATATATATATATATATATGAACAAATATGTTTACTTTATGTCTTTGCTTTTTTCAATATCTCAGTTGTTAATGTATCTCTTTAGATTCTGGTGATGCCATAGTTTATTTCAATTACCATTAGATTGGCTGTCAATGATGTTAAATATATGGCTTAATGTTACAGAGCCATAAAAACATTTTCTAAAGTGTAATGGTGTCATGATTAAACTACATTAATAACTTAAATCTATCATTTTGAAATACCTCTGGTTTCTATTGCAGCTGTTTAGTTCTGGAGAGGCCATGCCTCTCATTGTTTGTCATGCAGCAGTCACAGTTAATCTTTTATGAAATACACAATACACAGTACTCCTGAAATCGCTTGGAAACACGATTACATAAAAAATTGTGTTTTGCAACCGCCTTTGGAATGTGTTCATGCATAAACACATGGAAATCAAAAGTCTGCATGTTCAGGTTTACATAAACATACATGTACTTTTTAAATTATGTATACGCTGATTAGAATGTCCCAGCAGGTATCGCAAATGGATGTAACTTTGGGAAATCATAGCTTTAACCAATGTTTGTAAAAAACTGGAGCTCCACATCTTATGTATATTTAACGACTTTAGTACAACATACATACACCACGATGTGAAACATACTCGCATCCTCACACAGATCCTCGCTGGTGCTGATATTTTATTTTAGTGTCAATCACAAACCCAGCGACTTCTTACACTGCTGTGATGTCCGCAGCTGATTCTTCTTTTAATGTCCAAGTTAATTGAAGATGTTCAGTACAAAACCAGGCCTGCACTGTTTGTAAGGTGACTGCTGAGCAGGAAAACATTAGGAACAGATGTATCAAGTTGTTGTGGTGTCTGTGGTTTTCTAATTGTCTGTAGTGTTTTTAAAGAAACAGTCCCACCCATGAGACACTTGGGCCTTTGTCGCACTACTTCAGGTGCTCTGCATTGATGTGAATGTGAATCTTTCCTCTACTTCATTGTCGTATTGATACATGAATACTCACCAACTGTGTTCTGGGTTGTCCCAAGCTTTTGCATTGATTATAATTTCAAAATCCGAACTGTCAGCGTAATCTCTCAGTCATCACCTCTTCTCTTAAGATAGTGGTTTTCTGTCTGCTGTTCTTGTGCTGCTAGGTTTGGCTCATGCAGTGTTGAGATGTCAAACTGCCCGAAAAATACATCTTAAAGACTGACAGTTATTTGTGTGAATAATATTTTTGTGGATCAGGGTTGACCTCAGAGCATGTGGTAAAATATTAAATATAAAAGTTATGAAAAGATCACAAATGTGGGGAAATAAAAATCAGATGATAATGTAAATTACACACAGACTCGTGCTACGTGTTGGTTTTCTTCCACTTCACCATCTTGATCGATATTTCTTAATCCTATATTAAGGTATTATGTACAAAATGTACTATGACTATGAATCAATTATACCATTGTAGATTAGCTGAGTGCAGACTCGCTCCAGCTCATTCAACTCACACAGCCAAAATCCACATACAATTAATATATCACTTATATAATCATAGAACAACTTTTGAGTGCTTTTACTTTTTGCTGACAACAGTTGAGGACTTTTCTTTAGTACTATGTGGAATGCAGGTTTTTTACATGTACTGTGATAGAATATTTTTACATTGAGCTGTTGCAACTTGTTAAGGACAGAATCTCAGCATTAAATGCACCACTGAACACAGAAGTGCTTTGGTTCCCACAAACTGGACATTAAGCACTGGACGCCGGTATCACAGTTAATAAAGCTGCTGTCATTGTCAGTGCTGCACAGGAGGTGCACAGACCCTTATGAAACCCATTGACTTCCGTCCACCAGGAACATTAACACAAGTAAAGTCTGATAATTTACTGCAACAGTGTCCGTCTCATAAAAAAAGTAACACATCACAGACATAAGGCTGAAAGTCTTTTTATAGAAGTGCCATATAAAATGTATTGTCCATATTTTGTCTCATCCAGCACTACTTCCTGGTCATCTTCGGCCACGATGGACAGAAACCCTTGGAGCTGCGGACAGAGGAAGAGTTGGACTGCAATGAGTGGGTGGAGTGCATCCAGCAAGCCAGGTAGATTCTGTTTACCCTGCGGTGTAGTACTTTCACTCAAGTACTGAGATACTTCTCAGCATTCCACAGCTGTACATCTGTGAGCTCTATTTGCTTTACAGACTTTACATTAAAGATAACATGATAAGATTCTTAAACAGATTGACATTAGTCCAGTGATTCCCAAACTCCTCGTTTGTCACTCCTGACTGTGGCTTCATGTTTTCGGGGGCTGTCACTTTCATTCTCGTGGACACGATATCTCAGGAACACTGTGAGGGAATGTTCACTTGGAATTAACAATGAACTGATCAGAATGAGGTGATTAAATGCTTGCTTGTTGTGGGAACTATTGGATTTCTCTATCATTTTTAAGGTCTTAACCTTAATATAATGCTATAACTGCTATCTCCACCAGAATCTCTGTCAATGTGCATATAAGTAGTGAAGATTTTAAAGGAATTTAATTAAAGGATATTACGTTTATTTTTTAATAGTGTTGACATTAAATATTAATGTCAATAAATTGTTTTACTTATAAAGTAGTTTTAATTTGTGGTATTCATAGTTTTTTCTTTAGCAAATTATCTTTTAATGTGGTCTGCCATTGTTAATTTCATTTGTGCTTATATATCCAGTCACTTCTTAGTTAAGTGTCCTACATGTTAAACATTCTGTACTTATAATATTAAGTATGCTTTTTGTGCTTTTGACACATCTGCTGTGTATGTATGTGTGTGTGTGTGTGTTTGTGCACAAGTGTGTGTTTGTGTGTTTGTGCGTGTGTGTACACATGGACTTGTTCTGCTCGCAGCGGTTCACATTTAGGTCACACTGGTGCTGTATTGCCACACTGATTACATCACACAGACTTGATTTCGCCACTCGACCTGTATTTCTCTCGACTCTCCGCTGTTTCCTCTTTTTATCCTAAAATTCAGTAGAAAATATCATGCACCTCGAACCGCCTGCCTGTTTTTGCAAGACGACATGTTCCTGTGTGCACGTACACGGTGACACTGTTTTTGTGCTCTTTTCCAGTTTAGAACTACCCTGAATTCTCAGATAAGATGTGCACGTTACATTATCTGCTTCACCCACATGTCTTGAATCGCTGTGCCTCTCTTTTCCCCATTTTTCCATGTCACCTTCAGTTACTCTGACATCATCATTGAGCGTGAGATTCTGATGCAGAAGTACATCCACCTGGTCCAGATAATGGAGACTGAGAAGATCGCAGCCAATCAGCTTCGCACTCAGCTGGAGGACCAGGACACTGAGATTGAGAGGCTTAAAGCTGAGGTATGCATGACCGCATCCGCATCTGCGTGCGCATGCATACATAAACCCACCCACTGCCGTGCGCGTGTGCACAGGCACTTAGATGCACTCTCAGACGGAGCGCATGCAGATCAAAGCAAGCAAATGCATCTGGCATGATGGGAAAACACTTGAGATTAGAGCACATGTTTCTCTTAAATGAAATCACAGCAGGTCACCTGTGATTCCAAGACCATTACGTCCTTATCATGCAATGATATATTTGTTGTTTTGAAGCTCTAAAGTGGTGTCATGAATATTTTATCCTCTGTGCCAGTAAATTCACATGGAGACTGTTGTGCCAGATTGTAGTGTTGAACAAAACCAAGGAAAGGATTCAACCATACCAGAACAACCAAGAGGAGGAAGACCCCGATATTAAAAAGATCAAAAAGGTAAAGTTGTTGATAATCGCACATTGAAAAGTAGAGAAACAAGGACAGTGAGAGACACCTTGTTGTGCTGTGGCTGTGCAGGTGCAAAGTTTCATGCGTGGCTGGTTGTGCCGGAGAAAGTGGAAGATCATTGTCCAGGACTACATCTGCTCCCCTCACGCTGAGAGCATGAGGAAGAGGAACCAGATTGTCTTCAACATGGTGGAGGCAGAGACAGAGTACGTCCACCAGCTGTCCATCCTGGTGAACTGCTTCCTCAGGCCGCTCCGCATGGCTGCCAGCTCCAAGAAACCTCCCATCAGCCATGACGACGTCAGCACCATCTTTCTCAACAGGTGCAGCTATCGTCTTTTTATTTTGTTTACCAGTCAATTAGTTTAACTTCCAGATTAAGGCTAAACAGTTTCTCCCGCTCTAGTGAGACCATCATGTTCCTGCATGAAATCTTCCACCAAGGTCTAAATGCCCGGATTGCCAACTGGCCCACGCTGGTTTTGGGTGAGTAGTGGAACTTACAGTCAGGTTTCTTTATATGGGCGGTTTGTTTTAGGCTATAAATTACAATTTGCCTTTCCTGCTTTCCAGGCCACAACTGACTTGTAATTTCATGTCAGAATACATTTAAATAACACAGAGTGCAAGAGTGAGAAATATGCATAAACTATGTATTTTCAGCATTAATATATTATTTGGTGGTATTAATGATTACAAAGACAGAAGAAGACTGTTTATGTTAATACATATTAAAGGGAATGTAACAAACTTTGCAGTAGCTGCGAGGGGGGAGGGTGCAGCTCTGAGACACTGCCATCTTGCACAGGGATGTGTTTTAGCTTAGGCATGAATGCAGTGGTCTCGCACACTTTCCATCTAAAGTGTTTTCTGAACCTCTGGCACATTTTATCACTCGTTCATTTAATGATGGTCACTAACCGAGCAATATATACCATCATGCATTGCGTTGTACATAAGTCAACATTGAGTTGGCATTTATACATGTGAAGAAATTCACCAAACACCTGTTCCCAGCTCCATGACCACACCAGCATAATGTCAACAAAATAGTAAGCACAATAAAAAAACAAGCAGCTTCCTCACTGAGGTGGAGTTTGAAATTAAATGTCAGTCTCTGGCTCATGTCACACTCGCATGAACTGAAACCAAACGCCTTCTGGAAGGAGGGAAATCAGTCTCCAGACGTGTTGCGTGTTGCTGTGGGAAACATCACTCAGTACTTTACCGTGCGCTTTGAGATAAAACGGCGCGTTGTCCTTTCTTTCTTTTTTCACACGCAGCCGACCTGTTTGACATCCTGCTGCCCATGCTGAACATTTACCAGGAGTTTGTGCGTAACCACCAGTACAGTCTGCAGGTGTTGGCAAACTGTAAGCAGAACAGAGACTTTGACAAGCTGCTGAAACAGTACGAGTCCAACGCCGCCTGCGAGGGCCGCATGCTGGAGACGTTCCTCACTTACCCCATGTTCCAGGTAGTGCTCACTGTTTACCTCAGACACACAGTCAATGTAGCCCTCCATTAGCTACTGTAACAACAAAAGCTTACCTGAACATAGAACACAAATTCTTAACAACATTATGACAAAACTTTGTGATGCAATACGTGTGTTTCCATCCAGCTATTTGTGCATCTCCAATTTAGACATGCTGGAAAACAGTTTCCTTTGGTTGAGTTGGATGAGCATTCATGCACTTTTAATCTTCTTCTCCTGTGGTGTGATGGCACCTGTCTGGAGAATTAGCGTCACCTGCTGTTTATCTCAATGAACCCTAATATATGCACAGCAGTAGTCGATGGAAAATATACTAGTGTACACATTCAATTAAAATTTGTAAAACATTTGGATGGATACCCACTTTTTATCTCAAAAGCCTTAGTAGCACGGACGATATTGCTAAACTGTATAGTATATTTATATCTGATAACTATTTTTAAAGTTCCAAAGCAAAAACAAAAAACTCCCCTCAGGCCTCATTTTACTCCTTATTATTTATTTCCCACTTAAGAGTCATGTTAAAAAAGGCCTGTGTTGAAAAGACATAATGTAAATTAGGTTTGATGATTTGTGCATGGGTGCATTTGTGCTTGTCTGTGTATGAAAATGTGTTTTGAAACCACATTAGATTCCACGGTACATCATCACTCTCCATGAGCTGCTGGCACACACACCTCATGAGCATGTGGAGCGCAAGAGCCTGGAGTTTGCCAAATCCAAACTAGAGGAGCTGTCAAAGTAAGTGTGTGCACGTTCCATAGATATGAAGGAATAACTTGACGATGATGATGATGATGATGATGATGATGATGATGATAATGATGATTGCTCGTGCTGTCAGGATGATGCACGATGAAGTGAGCGACACAGAGAACATCAGGAAGAATCTGGCGATAGAGAGGATGATTGTCGAGGGCTGTGACATCCTGTTAGACACAAGTCAGACCTTCGTCAGACAGGGTGAGCAGCCTCACCTACAACACCTGTCTCTCTCTCTCTCTCTCTCTCTCTCTCTCTCTCTCTCTCTCTCTCTCTCTCTCTCTGACGTTTCTCAGCCACCAAATCATTTTATTACCATTCTCCATCACCCCCAACTCACTCTCTCTGTGGCCAGGCTCTCTCATCCAGTTGCCGTCGAGCAGCGAGCGGGGCATGCTCAGCAAAGTCCGCCTGGGCTCCCTCTCGCTGAGGAAGGAGGGAGAGAGGCAGTGCTTTCTGTTTACCAAACACTTCCTCATCTGCACCCGCACATCTGGAGGAAAGCTCCACTTGCTCAAGGTCAGCCTCACCTGTCCGCAGATGTTTATTCCGCCACACTGGATGTAACAGCTGTCTCAGTTCTGTAGATTTTTGTTTCATTTATGTAAATTCAAAACGTCTGTGTTGCCTTTCCTTCAACATCCATTACTAATTTACATAGACTAATAGGAACTGAATGTAAAGTCAAATCAATGTCTGTCTCACTGCACACACACACATTTGAGATTGGAAAAGTTCCAGCTAACCTAGAAGAGTCAGATGCATCCTCAAACCAATTTTAAATACTCACAGACTCATTCAAATACATATGAAATAGGAGTCCATACACAAAAATATGTGACATGCAATACATACAAAAATAAATGTTCGATTGAAGTTCCATCTTTTAACATAAATACATATTAAGGTTACACTAACATGAGTAGATGCATTTATTGTTCATATTAAAGCTTTCTTCTACAAAACACTACTTCATCATTAATTGATGTTTATTATAGTTAAGATAGTTAAGGCAGCATTTATATTTATTTTGTATGATTATATGTAATGATGATAACAATAATAAGAATAATATTTCATTTTTAGGAGCCCTCATAAAATATTGTCTATGTTACAAAATACTAATTCGTCAATACATTGTTTCTATTTATAATTTATAAATGTATTAAATCAGTCAGTATTTCAGAAACACTGATTTCTACGCGATCATTGACATGTGATGCACTGATGCCGGTAAAAGATGCCACCCATTGACAAAAAAATTCAAATTCTTACCATCTAACACATAAACAAACTTATTTATCTTATACCAGGTGAAACTGTTTTTTGTTGAATTAGTTTCAGAGAGAGGGTGACTGAAAAAAAATGATTGGCAGCTGTTATGATGTACTATTTTATTTCTGTCTAAATCATAGAATCTCATCATGTGAAGAACATATGACCGTGTTCTCTCAGGTTGTAAATACGACCTAGGAGGTAAATCTCTTTCTTTGTCTTCCATCACCAACAGCAGGGAGGAACTCTGTCTCTGATCGAGTGTACTCTCATTGAAGAACTAGATGCCAGTGATGAAGACTGTGAGTAGCTATATTCCAAATCATCCCTGACCCTGACGTTTATTTCCAGTCCAGTGTCAGTTAACGGAGCTGCGGCCTGTGTGTTCATTTTGTAGACAACGCAGCAGGTCAGGGCTTCAACCATCTGGAGTTTAAAGTTGTGGTGGAGCCTCCTGACGGTCAGTGCTTCTCTGTTGTCCTCCTGGCTCCTTCTCGCCAAGAAAAGGCTGCGTGGACCAGTGACATCAGCCAGGTGCAATTAGATTGTGTGTCTTAAAGCTGGTGGATTATCAGTAGAAGAAGTCAAGTAACCCAGATTTCTGACCCCAGATGTGGGATTAAAGAGAACTGACTCTCTGCTCTCTGTCTCAGTGCATTGATAATATCCGATGTAACGGCTTGATGACCAGTGTGTTCGAGGAGAACTCCAAAGTGTCTGTGCCGCACATGATCAAGTAAGAAAAGAGGATTTTCTGATATTTTAATATAGAGGAAGATTTCAAACTGTAACAGTGGAGATTATGTCGTCTGATAATCTCTTGTCCCATCATTTGTTTTGTAATCAGGTTGTGATTTTGTGAAAGTATTTTGTCTTTAGTTTGTGATAAAGATTCAACTAATTGTAACTGAATTCCGAGTGAAATGTTGCAACACACAAACAAAAAGACAATTAAAAAAAGAAATAAATACATTCAAATTTTAAGAAATAAACATGAATACAGATTCAATATCGGACATTTCTTCCATTAATTAAAAAGAAAAAATTAAAATGTCTCTCAGTCTTTTTCATACAGCTATGATGAATGTATCCCACCACTCTCCCTGTTTTAAAGCATGATGTAACTTACATCAGTGCTCCTTTGTTTCCACAAATACTCACCACAGCACCAAATGTGGATTAGTCCACTGCTGAAAATAGTCCTCAATCACTGCACTGTTTCCACCTGAGTAGCGTTTGCTCAAAACTACAGTGAGCAGCTGCAGAGCAGGAAATTACTGCACAGTAGTTTAGAGTAATCCTGTTAAATAACAAACAAACAGACGACAACACAACCTCACTGCATAGGTGATCAACCCACCAGCAGACACGGACACATGCAACTATAGATTTGTGATCTCATTTTTGTTTTTAAACATGATTTGCTGTCAATAGGCTTAAAGCTGAAAGCCTGAGAGAGAAGAACAAACGTGGGATCTAAAAAATGAAACATCCTTCGTTTTTACCTCAACATGGAGAAAAGTTACAACCGTGGTATTTTTCTCTGCAAGGTCTGATGCTCGCCTGCATAAAGACGACATTGACATCTGCTTCAGCAAGACTCTCAACTCCTGCAAGGTTCCACAGATCCGATACGCCAGCGTGGAGCGTCTGCTGGAACGACTGACAGATCTGCGCTTCCTCTCCATAGATTTCCTCAACACCTTCCTCCACACTTACAGGATCTTCACCACGGCTGCCGTGGTCATTGACAAGCTGGCCGTCATTTACAAGAAGCCATTTACCTCCATACCTGTCAGGTACTGAATTAACTGTACAACGGACTTCTGATTCTGTTAATGTAATATTTATCCACTGTCATTCCCCCTCCTCTCATCGAACAGACTCATGCATGTACATCTCATCGTTCACTCCATCTTTCCATTTCAATATTTTCTACTCCTTTCTTCATCTGTCACCCTGCTATACACCTCCTCCTCGTCCTGTCACTGTCTCAGGATCGAGCAACATTCATGTGATCGTCTGTCCATCATGTCCCTTTGTCCTGACTACAGTCTGAAGATCACGCAGCTTGCACTGGACCAGTCCAAGTAAACACCATTAGTAGGACTGGTGATTGACTTGTACCAACTTTTGTCAAAGATGGAGCGATAACTATCAGCTCTTTCTCTGTCTCTCAGGTCTCTGGAGCTCTTCTTCGCGACCAACCAGGGCGCGTGGGGAACGGACAACTTGAACAACAAATCCCCAAGGCTCTGCCGCAAGTTCTCCTCCCCCCCTCCCCTCTGCATCCCCTCTCGCACCTCCTCCCCGGTCCACTGCCGTAAGCTCTCCCTCAGTTCCCAGATCTGTGCGAAAGCGGGAGCCTTGGACTTGTCTCCTACCCCTTCGTCCTCTGCAGCCAACTCCCCCACCTCCAGTCACTGCCCCTCCATCTCTTCTCCTCCTCCAAGCTCACCCCGGCCCCTTTCCGGCTTTTCCTCCCCTCCGCCCACCTCCACGCGCTCTCCCAGCTTCCCCCAGGCCTCTGGGATGTCGTCGCCGCCCCCCATCTCCACCAAGGCCCCGCTGGACCTCAGCCATGGTCCCAGCCCTAGCTCCCCAGAGCTGAGCCCAGGTGCAGGGGAGGACATCAGCGGAGATCTGCCTCGCTTAGACGCCTTCTGTGGGAAGCTGAGGCGAAGCATCCGCAGGGGTTTGTAGCTGCAACAGTGAAGCATGTGATTCACACTCAGTCAATCCCATGTGACCATCAGCACATGTGTGTGCATGCACCTTATGTGTCCACTCACACATACTGTCGTTCTGTTATGAAGTTGAGTTTTAGAAACAGGTAAATGCATAAAGTTTAAATAGCTCATCTTTCATGTAACATCTCATTTTGAATTAGAGCCACCCACAGCAAAAGTGACTTCGAATTCTGAAAGTATGAATAAATGAATTAATTTCAATATTATTACTTGAATCGGACCCATCACAGATAGCGGTCTGTCAGCAGACAAGCAGACTCATGAACAAGAGACATAAATGGGTCACTGTTACCCTACAGAGGAATAATAGAGCTCTTAGATCACTATCTGGCTGCAGCGTGTTCACTATGACAACAGCGGCAGAGCACTGGGTCAGGTTCTAGATGAACGAATGAAAATAAAGAGAAAACGACATATTGGTTGGGTGAACTGAAGAGGCTCCAATAACATGCAAAATTCAGCACACAGTGACGTATGCATTATATCAAACATGTAAATATCAGTATCCTTTTTGTCCATATAGTTGGTGATAAAATTGAACCTTAATTGTTTAGAAAAGTGAGAATGTATCTGTTTGATTATTTATCATGTGTTTGGCACAACTGGGTTTGTCGTTAACAGACTATAAAATCTGTTGATTAAGGAACTGATCATATAATCACATGATTAATACAGATGCTTGAAGTGTGACTTATTTTTTTCCTAACAGCTGTCTTGGAGACAGTATCTCTGGACAAGTTTCTTCCCGAAATGCCTGCTAGCAGCGAGCCGGGCGACATGTCTCCCTGTCGATCACCTTCGACACCGAGGCACCTCCGCTACCGACAGTCAGGAGGTGCAACATGAACCCACACATCTAGTTCTACGCACGCAAATCAGGCAATGCAGTGTGCCTCTGTTTTCTCTGTATAGTTTTTTTTATTCTGTTTTTAATGTCTTGCAGTCTCACCAGGAGAGAACTCTCGCTGCACAATGTCACCAGCTTCTGCGTTTGCCATCGCCACCGCTGCTGCTGGGCATAGCAGCTCCCAGGGTGAGCACGACAAGAGAAGGTCAAAAAGACGCACAGCCGGGGCAACAAAATGCTTTTTTGCTGTGATGTTTCAAGTTAGTCAGTCGTTAAATTTTCATCGTGCATTGTGTGAAATCATTGGCCTAATATTTACATTTTATTTCTCCCAGGTTTTAGTAATTCTGAAAAAACCTGTGACAAAGAATTCATCATCCGCAGAGCTGCAACCAACAGAGTTCTCAATGTGCTAAGACACTGGGTTTCCAAGCACTCCCAGGTGAGTCCACACAGCACGTACAGATGGGTTTCTGAGAGATGTCATCAGTGAGACCGCGTAAATAGAAATCATAAAATCGTAAAAAGAATCAGATAAAAGTTTAAAAGGGTACAAAATAAACCTGGAATGACTTGAGCGCTTTTGAAGTCAACATGAAAACTTTTTCTGTTAGCAGCTGTAGCCCAGAACCGATTCTTATGTTGCCTGATATTTTCCTACATACCCATTCACTTGGTTCATGTTGAAATGTCAAAAACTATTATTTCATAATTGGGATCTTAATGTTTTTGCACACTCTTGGTTTCGTCTTTTGGACACACAGGTAGTTCTAGTCTCGCTGTGCATCTCCTCATGTAGCCATACCACTGCCACTAGCTGATGCGTCTGTGGTTTTGTGTGGTCACATACAAACTCACATTTAAATGTATTTTCACCAGTTTCCAGCATCTCTTTATTTTGTGTGTGAGAACGTAGATTCGCTTTTATGATGTTTTCTACCCCAACGCCCTGCGCCTATCCCCGACTGTTTGTTTACACTTCATTAACCCTGTTTCTCCACAGCTCTGTAAAGAGGCTTGTGTCTATGTTTCTGTCCATGACATGACTTACAGTTCGCCTGAAAGAGTCTGTTGTGATCTGTTTTCATTGCCATCTCACACACACCCCCTCCCCCCGTCACTATTCCCTGGTGGAGGTGCTCTTTGCTCTGCGTGTCTTTTCTCCCACCCAGGAAGCATGTAGAAAGGTCAGCCTCGTCCCTAGGGACACTACAGGATGATCATTTTCATTCTAGATTATGTAAGATGCTATTTTTGTACCTGGATGTTGTGTGAAAAGTGACCATTTATTATTTGTTCTTATTGATTGAAAATCGTGGCCGTGACTCGATGTTGGAGACGTCACGGTTTGTTGATGAGTGCTAAAGTGTTAAATAGCTCTTACATTGAGTGGGTGAGTGTTGTGGGGGAAACTAATGCAAACTAATACGATCAATAAGATCTTATCATTGTAGGAAAACGTAGTCAGTTCTGTTTTGAGAATGAAGTTTTAAAGGGTTTACACATCACTACTTTCTGGCCAGTGGCAATTTAATAAAAATTAATCTTATTTTGCTAACTTACTAAAAAATTTTGTACCTGTAGGCTCACAATGAAATCATCATCACCAGTGGTAGAATAAAACTAGTGTACATATATTGAGGGTGTGCATGGTGGTACAGTGGTTAGCCACACAGCTGGGTTCAAACCTGCCAGCTGAGTTAGCTAGCCCCCCCCCCTGGCTGTACACATGACAGGAGGAAGTTGGGAGACTTCTAGAGATAGACACTGCATATGTGTCATGTTGATTTTGTAGCAGATAAAGGTTTTAGAATTGATATAATTACAATTATCAAATCATAATGAATAATTGTGACATGAGCTGTAGGAGGGAGAACTGTTCCAATCCCATAACTCAGAGTATCCAACATTTAGAAGAAATGAGACGGTTAAAAGGAAAACAATTAAAATAAGAATTAAAATGACGATGACAAAACTATTCCAGATGATGACATGTTTGAGTATCCACTAACCGTTGTTGTACAAAACTGGAGAATTACTTTATAGTTGTGATGTTCATTGGTTCGATGAGTACAGTATTCCAGGTATGTGCTGCTCGATAGGACAAGGCTGATTGTGAAAGGTAGTTCTACAATCTCCTCTAGTAGCTCTTGTTGATGTGTTTGCATTCAGTTTCATTAGCTCATGTCCAAATGTGCAATAATGTGCTATAACTGTGACTCGGTTACAAAATGTGTTTACATGTGTTTGTCCATCAGGACTTTGACATGAATAGTGAACTGAAGATGGGGGTGATCAGTCTCCTGGAGGAGGTGCTGCGGGATCCAGACCTGCTGCCACAAGAGAGGAAAGCTACAACAAACATATTAAGGTGCAAAGTCCCCACACTCAAACTAAATTCATTCATAAAGAAAATAGAACATTGGAAACTGCATTTTAAACTGATTAATTATCTCTGTGAGGTTTACGGGGACAATATTTGCATATATCTTTTAATTGTCGTAGTATTTAATAATAGTTGCCCACTTAAAGGTCCAGTGTGTAAGATTTAGGTGAAAAGGAACTATTGTCAGAAATTGAATGTAGTATAATCCTCATCCTCATAATATAATATATGTATATATATAATAATCCTCATGATGCTTTCATTCAGTTTCATCTAAATTGTATGAATTGTAGTTTTCTTTACCCCAGAAAAGACCCTTTATATTGAAGTACTTTATATTTACATCGAGGGGGGTCCTCTCTACGAAGATGTATTATGTATTATGTTTTTCTGCTGTTATTTCATTTCATGTGTGTGTATTTATCTTAATTGGAAAAATGTGATTTCAACAAATTAAATTAATACTTTCCAGATGTAACTGGTGTAAGTGTAGCATGTGTTATATAAACCAATTGTGGCAAAAATCCTGGTAACTAACTGTATCCTGTACTTTGAAAGGGACAACAGGACATCCTTTTAATCTTGTGCTCCTAATGTCTTAATATTTCAGATATTTCTAATTCCATGTGGGTATATTAATATTAATTAATATATGTATATATATATGTAGAATCTTGATTGGAAATCTACTTGTTGAGTCTTGTAATTTTAAAGGCTAATTAGGGGAGGGAATGACAAATAGGCCCCACATTGAAAAACAGTACAAGTGTTGAAAGAAAATAAAAACAGTGTGAGAGGAAGATGCATAGGACCATGACGAACTAAATAGTGTATAGAAATTGCATTACCTTTGCAGTGTGCAAATATTCATATACACACACACACACACTATTAAGCTTTATTTCCACCTTGTAACTCTGGTTTTAAACGACTCTGAAGAAATAAAGTTGACATAGTCTGCTTTGCTCTCCAGTGCCCTTTCTCAAGAAGAACAAGACGATGCTCAGCTGAAGATAGAGGACATATTACAAATGGTCAGTGTTTCCACCTGTTTGTACATCACAGTAGGGATTTACTCATGTAGAATAGCTTTTATGAAATAAACCTCTGCTAACATCATTTGTCTCCTGATCATGGAACAGAAAAGCTGTCCCCTGCTGCACTTCATCGTGGTAAGAATGGTGCAGAAAAGCACCAGTTGTAGTTAATGTGCACTGCGTCACAACCCTCAACACCGATAGCTGGTTTCCCAGTACAGAAAGTTAACATGTGTTTGTGTGGTACTGTAGTTCTTTGAAATATATGATAATATCATTATGTAATTCTGTAAACATTTAAATACAAATATTGTATTCTTTCTAAGGGGTTTTCTGTGTGTGTTTTTAGGCGGAGAGTCCTAAAGCTGAGTGTTTTGAGTCTCTGTCCGCGATGGAAATGGCAGAACAGATCACACTGCTGGATCACATTGTGTTCAGGAGTATTCCCTATGAGTAAGTACATCCACTACATCACAACTCTCCTCACATGGGAATGATGTACTTATAATTAATGATAAATCTTAATTAATTCAGCAATCTTTAAAACCTTACATAGTTGAACTGTTAGACTGCTGTTAGCAGGACCTAAAAGCTGGCAATAAAACTTAACAAGAGAACCATACAAACTTTGGGGTTCAACAGAAAACAGGGAAACTACAGATGAAACAACAACAACAACTGGGTAGCTCAGAGACAAACTGCATCCACATGCTCCTCAAATGTTTAGTGCAACAGTAGAACCGATATGATCACATAGATATGATGTGAGTGCCGAACAAATACGTCTAATCCCCCGTCAGAGCCGACAGGTGGATGCTGGGGTGGTGGAGGGGCTGGAGCAACTGACAGTAACTCTGATGCAGCAGCGAGGGCAAGCAAAGGGAGAGATGAGAAATTTATCTGCATAGATAGACCGCCTGATAAGGTGGGTGTGTGTTATAGATGATTGTGGAGAGTGAGGTATGTCACATGAGGTACTGTATGTCTCAAGGTGTATGATTAAAGCAGCACAGCTGAAGTTGGCTGCCTGAACTAGCTCGCAGGCGTAGCTCCATTTGTGAACTTGTTTTGACTTCGGCGTGTTCATGTGCTCTTAAGTCGGAATGTGTAACAAAATGTGTTATAACATCTTTGATAATACATTTTTTTTAATACAATATTTGTAAGGATCAGGTGTGACAGGCTTATAAACAATTTAAAATGTGCACAATAATCATGAATTTGCTAAAAAAGTAGTGTTTGTGCTTGTGAGAGATGGACAGAAGTGTAACATTTGAGAAACTTACATTAAAAGCTACTATGTAGAGGTAAAATTACGGTAATTCTTTTTTAACAGATGACGTCAGCAACTCGTTTATCAAGACCTCTGCTGACTTTCTGAGTTGATGTTCCACATGAATACACAAATAGAATTTTAGAAGTAAAACAGGAACTTACAAACAAAATACAAATAACTGAGATATAAATCCAAATCAAAAAACTAAACACAAGGAAAGTAACAAGTCTCACCCTTAACTCCAAACCTAATATCAAAAGGTTCGCCGAGTCTATAGATACGAAAAGTCCAACTAAAAGATTCACAAGACAAATCAAGTCCCTCCAAAGTTCCAGTCAGGGGCAGAATCCTGACGTGTGTGTACGATGCTGCCTGTTTCCCCTCCTGCAGGGAGTTCCTCGGTCAGGGCTGGATGAAGATCGACAAAACTGAGAGGACTCCGTACATCATGAAGACCAGCCAGCACTTTAATGATGTAAGACTTTGTGTTGCCCCACTGAGTGTAACCTGGATATGATGTTATATTCATTAGACATAAAAGCTATCATAAGCTTTGCAGTTTCATTTATACTGAAGTGTATATACACCATATTCCCAAGGTGGTCCTTTTCTTTTGACGTCACATTAAACATTTTAAGTGTCCCTCTCTCGACAGATGAGCAACCTGGTGGCGTCTCAGATCATGACCCACACTGACGTGGGCTCCAGGGCAAGCTCCATAGAAAAATGGCTGGCGGTGGCCGATATCTGTCGCTGCCTCAACAACTACAACGGCGTGCTGGAGATCACCTCTGCTCTCAACCGCAGTGCCATCTACAGGCTGAAGAAGACCTGGGCCAAAGTCTGCAAACAGGTTGATATCTCCTAATTAAATAGCGGTTATCCATTCACGTTATTTTTTGTATAATTTTGTCAATTTGTGCTTTCTAGACGAAGGCGCTGATGGACAGGCTGCAGAAGACAGTGTCATCGGAGGGGAGGTTCAAGAATCTCAGAGAGACTCTGAAAAAGTAAATCCAGCTAATTCTCAGAGGCACATTGTTATATGTGTAAATCCAGTCTAATGTTTGTATGTGTGTGTTTGTAGCTGTAACCCACCATGTGTGCCGTACCTGGGCATGTACCTGACTGACCTGGCTTTCATTGAGGAAGGAACACCCAACTTCACTGAGGAGGGCCTGGTCAACTTCTCCAAGATGAGGATGGTAACAGTATTCTTCTACACATGTTGAAGCAGTGAGCACAGCACACAGTGTTTTGCTTTTCCAAAACCATAAAAATACCAGGGACAAAAATCACAAAAAAGGTCCATCCTCCTTTTCTATATACACAACTATGTGAGCTGAGCATCCAAACAGGGTGATAAATATATGTTTTTCATGGTGTTACTGTGTTCAGAGAGAGTAGTTTGTCTGTGAAGCTTTTAGGATCAGCTACTTCTACCCTGCAATACTGAACAATATGAAGCCTGTTATTCTAAAGCTTCATCTTAACCTGTTGACTGACAACTTCCTCTGCCCTCTCAGATTTCTCATATCATCCGGGAGATTCGTCAGTTCCAGCAAGCACCTTACAGGATAGAGCACCAACCCAAGGTGCGTCCAAAAATACCTTTGAAACCACCGCCCTTTAACATTACGAACTTTTTTTTTTGGTGGAATGAATGATTGGGTTTTTACTGTCTCCTCCGTCCTCCCAACCCTAGGTGACTCAGTTCCTCCTTGATAAGACGCTAGTGATGGATGAAGATACCCTCTATGAGCTGTCACTGAAGATTGAACCCCGGGTACCACCTGGCTAGTTACAACTTTAAATACACACAAACAACCATGTTTTCCAGTGTAAACACAGGCCAACAACTCGAGATAAAGCAGGAAACACTGCCAGTTATCGTGCTTAGGAAACTCAGGAGAAAATGTGCCTTGTTGTATGAATATCTGATGTGTATATTTAGTAAACAGAACGGACTGTGAAACATACACAACTCTGCCATACAATCATACAGTAATGACTGTAGACACAACATGTTAGCTACGTGGCACTAGAAAGTACCCAATTGCTGCTACACACTGTACATACCAAACAATCTGCCTCTGTAGTCTAGCACATAAACACTGTCGGACGAGTTTTGTATTGTTCGTTTGATCATGGCCGGATTAACCTGCTTGAAGGACAAAGTGAGCTGCTGGGCCCGTACTAACCGTCTCTGTGTGACTGGTGCAATGTCTATATGCTGGTATATTACAAGGCCCCACTTGTTGCTTCCAAAATCCTTTTCCAAGATGCACTACGGGAGCTCAGCAGCTGCACGGGATGTAAACGTATGTTGTGATCATTTCTTTTATTTTCTCTATTGCAACAAAATACATGACACCAGCCTTTAGAGACACAACCCATAGTGCAAAATTGTCAGTAGAGGACTGTGTTCCAGGCATATCCTTTAGAATTTTCCTAAAGAATATCTTCCATAACCCACCTTTTATTTTTAATTCTGTCCCGTATTTGGGGAAATTAGGTCATTTTTTAAATCTATTTTGTATCACATATTCTGCTATTTTTATTCTTGACACCATGCAAACATTTCCCCACAGAGCAATGCTGTTCCTGGGAGCTTTAATAGAGAAATAATAATAGTCTTAAAACTTCAAAAGTTTGACACCCAAATGTCTTCAACAAGGGGTTGTGGGGATCTGAGAGTCTGGGTCCTTGGCTGAGTCTGTCACTTGTTAGTCCCGCCTGTTGTGTGAAGGGTTATCTAAACAGCTGTACAGAGTACAGTTCAAATATTTAATCTACCTGTATTTGTACTGGCTCATATGTCTGTTAGTGTTGATGCTCAGAGTCACAGGAGATGTTGACTTTGGCTTCATTCCAACATTTTTATATCTTCATCATTTGGTAACACAATTTTTTGTGTTGTTCCAGTTTATATTCTGTTGCATGTTACAGCAAAAATTGCTTAAAAACATTCCGAAACTGAAAATATGCTTTTCACTGATAGAACACATTGTTATTCAGCTTGACAGTCAAAAACATATCAATGGCTTCCAATCATGTCTGTTCTTCTTATATTAGTCATTTTGTACAGAAAGAGTCTTCATGTCTGCTCTAAAGGTTTCTGACATTCTACAAAACCCAACAACTAAATTTATTTTATATGTATCACTGTTATTATTAGTTCCTTGTCATGTGATCATTTAATCATATTTTAAACTTTGTTGTCTTATTAGTAAAATAGTAATGTCTAACTATTGATTTTTAATGAAAGTCTTTAGACTCTAAACTTGTTTCTAGCATGAATATAGCATGTTCTCCCCTCTTCCCTTCAGATTACTGTCCTCCTGGTAGGAGACTGTTACAGAGTTTTAATAGGTTCATCATATTTTTTTTCTGTTCCTGATGTCAGGAATCTTCAAACCCTTTAATGTACAAGACCCTTGATTTCTTACACCACTGTATTCTTTGAAATTCTACTGCTGTTGTCTTTTCTCATTCTTTTCCATGTGTAATGTAAAGACATTTACACACTCCAGGCTTAAAAATAAAGGCAAAATTTGAATTTTAATACAGTTGCGAATTGTTGTCCTAATAAAATTAGTGGAGACACCAAGTTATCAACAAAGGAAATGTGCTTCACAACCAAACACAGAAAAAACAGCTTAACATGGAAACATAACCAAACAAACAAAAAAACTCAAATAAATAAACTTGCTATTGTGGGAAACACAACCAAACACAGGGAACATCCAAACAAACAAACAAACCAAAAAACTTGCAATTGTGGGAAACACAACCAAACTGAGGAAACACAACCCAGTAAAAACGACTTAACACAGAACACACAACCAGACACTGAAAACAACCCAACAAACAATTGCAATCGTGGGAAACAATTTGCCTCATGGGGCTTAGCAAGGTGGGAGGGAGTAGTACTGCCAATTGTAATGACAGAGTTATGTCCAATAGTATTTGTATATGTGAGTAGGCATGTTGCATACATAAGAAATCTAGTTGTAATCTTAATCCACGATCATGATCCACTAACAGCCGGCTCAACTATCACAATCAACATTCCACCCTTAGGATCAGGATCCACCATCATGATCTATGATTCGCGATCCATCTACAGCAGGGGTCTCAAACTCGCGGACCAATTTTGGCCCGCTGGACAATATTTTGTGGCCCCCTACTTGACATCAAAGTATAGTGTTAGTGCGGCCAGCTCGTTTTTCTCAAACACACCTTTTTGTCTAGTCAGTTGCCCTGACATCTTCCGGTGGAGTTTGTTGTCAAGTTAGCCAAAGTGAATTAGCAGCGTTAGTCACTTGTTTGAAACGAGATTCCGTTCTGAAGAACCGTTCATGTTGAAGAACTTTTCATCATAAAGACTGAGAAGATTGGGTAAGTTGTACTTTTTGGAATGCCTTAAACCCTTTTTTTGTGGAGTACTTGATGCGGCCCCTGGAAACTTGCTTTGTTTGTAACCCAGTTCTATTTGATTGTGGTTTATCTTACTTAACATTCTTTGCATTTACATGTGTTTTCTATATTTTCCAGCACTTTAAATATCACTTTTGTTGCCAAATTGATGAAAACAGTTTACCTTCTTTTATATTTGCATGTGTTTTCTGAAGTTGCTGTGTGTGTGTGTGTGTGCGTGTGCGTGTGTGTGGAGGTGTCAGGGTCACAGGGGAGAACAGGAACTGTAAGAAGTGGAGAAGTAGGAGGGAGATCATGTGTACGTGTGAGCGGCATCAGCTGAAATAATCAAGGTCAAACTGGAGAGTGATATCGGACCCTTGGTGGTCATGGCTCAACATGAGCGGCCTGGGCTGTTGCAGGCCTCATGTCTGCGGCCCTCTATTGGTTTATAACTGCGTGTTTCTGAACTTATGATTGGCCTCTAGTTTTTAATCCCGCATGAGGGGGTGGAGCCCCCAGTGAGTGGAGCGTGAAAAGCTCTTTAACAAGAGACCTTCAGTCAGAGCAACTTCTCCACAGGTACCGTACCTTCTTTTCTTATTTCTCTCACAGACACTTAATTAGCTTCCTGTACTTACAAGTACATCTCAAATTGACTGAAATCAGCTGTAGATTATGCATCAAAGAAGATATGGGCTGTATTTAAATTATTTTAGATATCTTTGTATGCTTGTGATGTTACTATGTTTAAGATGTCAAAGGTGGATCGAAGATAGAGGCATGTGATGATGACTTGATATGTAGCTGTGAAAATACAAATACATGTTGTAGTGTGAAGCGAGAAAGAAAAAAGTATATAAAAATATATATGTGTATATACACATATTTTTCTTTTCTTTCACAGTTACTATGAAAATCTTTCCCTTTCCTCTTTGAATCTTAATCATTTTAAATACCTGAGGCGGTGTTAACTCATCCGTGTCCTTTGGAGAGGACGAGGCTGGTCTTACGTCCTGTCCGGCACGTAACCCCCCCCCAAACCCCCACCCCACCTCCCTGGGAGTTAAAAGGTCACACTGATCAGGGGGAGGCGAGGCTGAGTCTGGTGGTTTTGGTGTAATCCTGACCATAAGACCATATGATCCACTGTGTCATTTAGCAGTCGGGGCTTTACCGCCAGAGGACACATGTATCACGCAGCCAGGGATGATGTCTCCTGTTGCAACTTACATAACAATGTCTACAGAGAGATGGAGATAATTCTCTTTATCCTATATTTTTTTTATTACCATTTCTGCTATTCCATGTTCTCTGTCTCCTTCCCCGTTTCCATCCCTCTGTCCAGCTGACTTGGCCTCATGAGGGTCCGGTCTTGTGTTCAGTTCTGAATGTCACAGAGTCATGAGCCAGAGACGGTTTTGGTCTTGGCAGTGGATCCTGGCAGCACAACTGCCCTCCAGTGATCTATAAATAATATTATCATTCACCCAAAGAGTCCAGAGTGCTTCACCTCCACAGACTGAGACAGGAAAAAGAGTAGGGCGGGGGGTGATAAAGAGTCAGTAAATAAAACAATCACATGAATTACTGGGTGAATGTGTTTCACCTCACTTAGCAGTGCAGGAAACTGATTGTCTCACCTCTGACCAGGATTAACAGGAGTAATGACGTCTTCACAGCTTCCCTCTATATTAAGACACAGTCGCATGGTCTCTGTGAAGGACGAGCTGGAAGATGACCTTCCAGTCACAAGTTTCATAAAAACTAATCACATGTATCATTTTTAATCAGTTTTTATGGACTCAGAGATTATGGTCTAATTTCTAGATGAGAGCTGCCTCCTCTTTCCTCCCTCTGAAACTTCTTTGGGTATTAGTAATGACTGAAGTGTAAGTGGTCATATGAAACCTGCCATTCTTTGGGACTGTGAGTCTGTGATAATGCTAAGAGGCTAAGAGCATCTGCCACGTTCCTGTCCTCTAATCTTGTTAATGTATCGTACAAAAACCTGTACCTGGGGGGGGGTCGTCTCAGCAGCAGTTGGCCATATTGTCTGGAGATGGAAGCTGAGAGCTTGTGGTTACGACCTGGGAAGTGCACTTTGCATGCTTGGTGTTCTATATGTTGAAATGTGTTAATGCCACTGCAATGCAACATGGAAGCTACAATTAATGATTAGCATTCAGGAAGCATAACACGGAACTGTATAATGACAGACAAAAATGAATCAATGGTTCTAAAAAATAATTTGTAGTGGTGTGACATAGTGAAAATATAATGATTTTGCTGTACACCCACACGAATATGATTGGATGTGGCCAGTTGGCTGGTAGCTGCAGATGTAACCCCGTGACTCTGAAGCATGAATGAAAAGGCTTCAGTCAATCCTTCTAATCTGCTTCTTATGCTGTAGCATAAACTTCCACACTGTTTTCCTTGTTCTGCATACAGTACATCATATTTGAAGAGTTTAACAATACACTGACTCTCTTTCTCTGCAGCTCTTTTGCTACTGACAGAGTCTGAAAAACGAGCAGAGAGATGGCGAGCTCTTTCACACGTATGATCTCTGGCCGCAACACGGCCGTGCTGTTGGCCAGCTTGGGCGCGGGAACGTTGGCGACTGGCTTCTTGTTGAGTGAAAACAGTTCTCTTGCTGCCGAGGCGAGGAAGAAGCTGTATCCTCCCAGGTAAGACAGAATGAAGGCAACAGATACAGTGTGACCGAGGCAGGGGCTGATTCCAGGACAGGGCTGGGGGGGGGGGGGGGGCTTGACCCAGAATGAATCTAATTGGTCCCTGAGGTGCCAGTGTCCTGTCAGTAGTCTTACTTCACTTACTAACAGTACTATACAATAGATATGACACTTTGTTAAAGCTCCTACACCGAACTAATTGTTGTTGATTTTGGCACCTCTGTGGACAACATGGGCATTTATTTAAAGGTAAAGTGTGTAGAATTTTTTGATATCTAGTGTTGAAATTGCATGTTGAAGTTGAACACCCCTCACCTCACCCTCTCCTTCCAAACATGAAAAAGAACCTGTGGTAAACTTCAGTTGTCATAAAAACTCAAAAGGTGTTTAGTTTGTCCAGTCTGGACTAATGTAAAAAACATGGCTACCTCCATAGAGAGGGTCCCCTCCATGTAAATATAAAGTATTTGAATATAAAGGGTCTTTTCTGGGGTCAAGAAAAATACACTTCATACAACTTAGATGAAACAAACTAGTGAAAACATCATGAGGATTATTCTGCATTAAATATCTGCCAATAGTTCCCTTTCACCTAAATCTTACACACTGGACCTTTAAGTAGTGGGAAAAAAACCACTTATGTAGCAAGTTCAGGACACACACCAAGAAAACAGTGCGACACCGCAACTCTCTTTGGATGTTTTTCCTGTAATGATGTAACACGAAACAAGGACAGCATCAGTTTACGTCCTCTTCTCAGACCACTGTCTCTCTGCTCCAAATGCAGAATGAGAGAGAGATTCCTGGGCACACGTACCAAAGTGGGCCCAGGAATCTCCATTTACTGACAAATGGGCGATCTTCTAACAATATTAGCACCAACATACCCATTGAGTATTGAATGTGTCCCCCCTCTTCTTATTGTGGGAAAATGGAACATACCACCTGAGACATTACGAACTCACTCAATGTACCGGGGCTTAAAGTTGGCTGGAAACTCAAACCACAACATTACACACATCCGTTTGCAGGATGCGTAGTGATGATGTAATGTGTTGTAATTCTCATTGGGATCTCATCCATCTTGTTTGTAAGAGACATGGAGTCTCACTGCCGTAAATAGTTGCTCCACCTGACAACAGACAAGAATAATTTATAGAAAAAGTAATTTTTCTCCCTGATTGTCTCATTTATCGGAGGTCATAGGAAACAATATTAAAATGAGACTGTTTCATTAAAATCTCCTAGTAGGGCCTTTATATTGTTAATTTTCCAAGCAATTCAATGATGTGTGGCTTTGCTCAACAATACAGTGCGAACAATAAACAAGATATGACATAAATTTGCACCATACTGAATCAGGAATTGGTGCCTGGATGTTGGACATATAATAAGTTGTGGCCCCTTTGGC